AAAGGCAGACTAAAAGTCCTCTTTGCAAGCAGGTATCTGCTTTCCAGGCAGTTTCTAGCCCAGTGCTTTGGCCACTCACCTGGTTTCCAAGCTTATGATTTCTCAAAAAAGACAGGCTCCCAGAATATCCTGCTAGCCTCCAGTTTCCATATGAAACAGCTTGTATTTCCAAGACTTTCAGTTTGTTGCTCTACGGCAGCCAGCTGAGAAGATAAGCTAGGACAACCATGCAGCACCAGTTTATGGAAGCCTGAAGTTTGGCTGATTCGGAAACAGAGTGCCTATTCTTTGTAGACACAGTTGTTTCCAAAGCACAGTGTTGCTTAAAACATTCAGAGAAAAGTATACCACCTGTCCTTTCAACAAAGGGAAACCCTCAACACGCTTTTAGCTTTGTTCTTATAGATGAATCTTTTGGGTCAGGTGGGTAAATAAAGATAATATTAGCAATATTAATGGAGAGGACCAGAATCACAGAATCACAGAATCACAGAATAGTAGAGGTTGGAAGGGACCTCTGTGGGTCATCTAGTCCAACCCCCCTGCCGAAGCAGGGTCACCTACAGCAGGCTGCACAGGACCTTGTCCAGGCGGGTCTTGAATATCTCCAGAGAAGGAGACTCCACAACCTCCCTGGGCAGCCTGTTCCAGTGCTCCGTCACCCTCAGAGGGAAGAAGTTCCTCCTCATGTTCAGACGGAACTTCCTGTGCCTCAGTTTGTGCCCATTGCCCCTTGTCCTGTCACTGGGCACCACTGAAAAGAGCTTGGCCCCATCCTCCTGACACCCACCCTTCAGATATTTGTAGGCATTTATAAGGTCCCCTCGCAGCCTTCTCTTCTTCAGGCTGAACAAGCCCAGTTCCCTCAACCTCTCCTCGTAGTGGAGATGCTCCAGTCCCCTCACCATCCTTGTAGCCCTCCGCTGGACTCTCTCCAGTAGCTCTTCATCCTTCTTGAACTGGGGAGCCCAGAACTGGACACAGTACTCCAGATGAGGCCTCACCAGGGTAGTGTAGAGGGGAAGGAGAACCTCCCTTGTCCTGCTGGCCACACTCTTCTTGATGCACCCCAGGATCCCATTGGCTTTCTTGGCAGCCAGGGCACACTGCTGGCTCATAGTTAACCTGTCGTCCACCAGGACACCCAGGTCCCTCTCTGCTCTCCAGCAGGTCCACCCCAAGCCTGTACTGGTGCATGAGGTTGTTCCTCCCCAGGTGCAGGACCCTGCACTTGCCCTTGTTGAACCTCATCAGGTTCCTCTCTGCCCAGCTTTCCAGCCTATCCAGGTCACGCTGAATGGCAGCACAGCCTTCTGGTGTATCTACCACACCTCCCAGTTTGGTGTCGTCAGCAAACTTGCTGAGGGTACATTCTAACTCTTCATCCAGGTCGTTGATGAAGAAGTTAAACAAGACTGGGCCCAGTACTGACCCCTGAGGGACACCACTTGTCACCAGCCTCCAACTAGACTCAGCGCCGCTGATGACAACCCTCTGAGTTCTGCCATTCAGCCAGTTCTCTATCCACTTCACTGACCACTCATCCAGCCCACACTTCCTCAGCTTCCCCAGGAGGATATCATGGGAGACTGTGTCGAAAGCCTTGCTGAAGTCAAGGTAGATAACATCCACAGCTCTCCCTTCGTCTACCCAGCCAGTCATGTCATCGTAGAAAGCTATCAGATTGGTCAGGCATGATTTCCCTTTGGTGAATCCATGCTGACTACTCCTGATAACCTTCTTTTCTTCCACTTGCTTCATGATGGCCTCCAGGATAAGCTGCTCCATTACCTTTCCTGGGATGGAGGTGAGGCTGACCGGCCTGTAGTTCCCTGGGTCCTCCTTCTTGCCCTTTTTGAAGATTGGAGTGACATTGGCCTTTCTCCAGTCCTCGGGCACCTCTCCTGTCTTCCAGGACCTCTCAAAGATGATGGAGAGTGGCTCAGCAATGACATCCGCCAGCTCCCTCAGCACTCGTGGGTGCATTCCATCGGGGCCCATGGATTTGTGGACATCCAGATCGCTTAAGCGATCCCTCACACAGTCCTCCTCGACCAAGGGAAAGTCGTGCTCTTTGTAGGCTTCTTCTCTTACCTCCGGGGCCTGGGATTCCTGAGGGCCAGTCTTAGCACTGAAGACTGAAGCAAAGAAGGCATTCATTAGCTCTGCCTTCTCCGCATCCTCCATCACCAGGACACCTGCCTCATTCAGCAGCGGCCCCACATTGTCCCTAGCCTTCCTTTTGCTGCTGATGTAGTTTAAGAAGCCCTTCTTGTTGTTTTTGACATCCCTTGCCAGCTTCAATTCCAGGTGAGCCTTGGCCTTCCTCGTCGCATCCCTGCATGCTCTCACTACGTTTCTGTACTCTTCCCAAGTGGCCTGCCCCTCTTTCCACATGCCATGCACCTTTCTCTTCTGCCTGATCTCCGCTAGAAGCTCCTTGTTTAACCATGCAGGTCTCCTGCCTCCTTTGCTCAATTTCTTTCTCAGGGGGATGCATTGCTCTTGTGCATGGAAGAAGTGTTGTATAAAGAGCGACCAGCACTCATGGACCCCCCTGCCTTCGAGAGCCCTGGCCCATGGGACTCCTCCGAGTAGCTCCTTGAAGAGGGCAAAGTCAGCCCTCCTGAGGTCCAGGGTTTTGATCCTGCTTATCGCCCTGCTTCCTCCATGCAGGATCCTGAACTTGACCATTTCATGGTCACTGCAGCCGAGTCTACCTCTGACCTTCACATCCTCCACCAGTCCCTCCTTGTTTGTTAACACAAGGTCCATGAGCACGCCTTTCCTTGTTGGTTCCTCCACCACTTGCATCAGAAGTTTCAGTGGATGGCGTAGTGAGAAGCTTGGGATGGGCAATCTCCAGCTAAGCAGAAAATTTGTAAGCAAATATAAATAGAAATCTTTTAAGTATTACATTTAAATAAGTGTTCCTGTTCTTTGTCCCATCTGGAGTTTATATGGTGCTATTTCATCAACCCTACAATATTCTGGGCAGGGAAAAAAACCTGCCAACAGCAACTTTTCATTCACTTTCCACTTCTCCATTCACAAGATAAACACAGAGCTCTGAGTTTCATATAGTCTCTTTATCCATTCTTGTATCACTTGTCAGTATGTCAAGGGTAAATTCTGAAAGCAATGTTTTTTTCCCTTTTCTTCTGCTTAAAGCAGCTCTGCTGTTTGTGCTGAAATGATCTGGAATTCTGCCAAAGCCTTCAGGACAAGCATATTTCAGTCTGGCAGTGAATTCCTGAGCAAAAGAAGACACAACTCCACACACCATAAAGTTATTTATAAATCCACATACAAAATCTACGAAAACTAGTGTAGCAGTCTTTTTACTGAGGCCTTTTGTCCCAGCTGCCTTTAGTATAAATATCAAATGTGGTTCTTCATGCATGTATCAAAATTTAAACAAATGAGAATAAGTAGAATAAAGACAAATAAGCAATTTTAAGCAAAAATGAATAAGTAGCGAAAAAGAATAAGTGAGCCAGATAATTTCTATGTTTTTCTCTGTATTTGCAGATTTAATATTTCCACCTGGCCATTTAGAGCATAAGATCAGTGAGAGACTATGCATTTTAAGATGTTTGAGACAATATATTAAAGAAGTGGTTTTCAGAATTATAGCAGCTGAAATGCCCTGTTGGTCCATAGGTACTTTTACTTTTTCTTTTAACCTCTTTTCATCTATTTGTATTTTGTCTGCTCAAAATAAATGCATAAAACAGTTCATAAAGCCCACTTTGGATTAATAATGAAATTCTACACCATCTAAAACTAGCAATATATTTTCTTACAGGTTGCAATAGGAGCTCATATTTCATCTTCAGTGAATCATCTCATAATTCCAAAGTATAATCTCAAACACACACATATTATGTATACATGCATTTCTATACCTACACACATGCATGTGTATATACACATTAATAGCTTTCTGTAGATATGGGTGTGAATAACTAGACCAATATATGTAGTAGTTATTTTTAGAAAATTAATAAAAGCTATATCAATGAATCTTGTGACCTTCTTCTTAGAAACTATACTTTGGGAGACATTCAAATGAGCTATCATTTATGCAACTGAAAAAAGAATATATAATCTGTGCTCAAAATATTAATTCAAAACCTATAGTTATGATGGGTTCCATTGTCTTTGAAGAACAGAAAGGGGTTCTATCAAGAACTAACACAGACTAAAATAATCTCCCTTTGTTTAATTAAAAAAATGAAGCAAGAGAATGGATTGTTGCTTAATTTTCCACTTTGGGGACAGAAAAGAATGTGGGATCAATTGTGTCTGGGAACTGTCCAGGTCACTGCTCAGCACCACTTCTTTTACTGAGGAGTATGTCTCTCAGTTTAGGAAAGACAACTGAGGTTGTGTTCAGCTAGACTTTTAGAATCTAAGTTTAGTTAAGTGCTAGCCAGCAGATTCAAAAAAGGTCACTTGAAAAGTCACATTAAAGTCACGGAAGCTTGAAATACAAATGGGCTAAAAAAGATTTTCATATCACGACTGGAAAAGTGAAGGGGTAATGTAAGGAAAGGGAATGAAATTAAATATGGAAAGTAAATGTGAGGTTCAAAATTTCTTAGTAATCATTATTTCTGTTGATTTTTCAAGAGAGACTATCTATTTAAAACCAAAGCAAGGCTTAAAGTTATGAATATTTTAATTTGATATGAATTCTGAGTCTGTGTTATTGGAAGAATTCAAATAAATGAGATGATAAAAATATTAGGTCATAGTAACTAAATTTAAAGACAGTTTTCTTTTAAAAAGTGCATCTTTAAGTTAAATTGCTTCCATTTCAGATTAAAAATTAGTGTCTTATTTCTGATATATAACAATGAATTTTGATCTAGAAAGCAGAAACTAATTACATTTAAAGTGCTCCACTAAGGCTGCTCATTAATATATTCAGAGCAGAAGTGACAGAAAAGAGCAAAAGAAAAACTAATATTTGCCTTTTTATATTTATCTTACAGGAAATGTGTTTGTTGTAAGCCTGGCAGTTGCAGACTTGGTTGTAGCAATCTACCCGTATCCACTGGTCCTCACATCTGTATTTCACAACGGATGGAATCTGGGATACCTTCACTGCCAGATTAGTGGCTTCTTGATGGGCCTAAGTGTCATTGGATCAATCTTCAATATTACAGGCATCGCTATCAATCGGTACTGCTATATCTGCCACAGTCTCAAATATGACAAGCTGTACAGCGACAAGAATTCATTGTGCTATGTTGTTCTTATCTGGGTCCTAACATTTGTTGCTATCGTGCCCAACCTGTTTGTGGGATCGCTACAATATGACCCCAGGATTTACTCATGTACTTTTGCGCAGTCGGTGAGCTCAGCATACACAATAGCAGTTGTGTTTTTCCATTTCCTGCTTCCCATGGCCATAGTTACTTTCTGTTACTTGAGAATATGGATCCTTGTTATTCAGGTAAGGCGAAGGGTTAAACCAGATAACAACCCCAGGCTGAAACCACATGACTTCAGAAACTTTGTAACCATGTTTGTGGTATTTGTACTGTTCGCAGTCTGCTGGGCTCCTTTGAACTTCATAGGCCTTGCTGTGGCTGTCAACCCAAAAACTATAATCCCTAGGATTCCAGAGTGGTTGTTTGTATCTAGTTATTACATGGCATATTTCAACAGCTGCCTTAATGCTATCATATATGGACTCCTGAACCAGAACTTCAGAAGGGAATACAAGAGAATTATTGTCACTTTTTGTACAGCAAAAGTTTTTTTCCAGGACAGTTCTAACGATGCGGGAGACAGGATGAAAAGTAAACCTTCTCCATTGATTACAAACAACAACCAAGTGAAGGTGGACTCTGTCTGAAAATGGGAATCTTATTATTGTCACTCAACAGCATCCAAATAAAGTAACTGTTTTTTTAGACCTACTGTTAAATATTACAATGAAATGTCTCTTCTACACTGAAAGCACTTTGATCAAATTCCTTGCATGATATTTGGGAACTCAAGTTACAGAGCCTTGACATACAGATCCTATTATACAAGGGTATATCTCATATATAAACACAATGATTACCTTGAGGGAATTACAGCATTATGCATGGATACTTTTTTTTCCTTAAATGGACATAAACAACTAGAAAGAGATTGAAACAGAAATATCCACATTGCCTGGCTCAATAAAAGAAATCACAAAACTGCTCCTACCACTTTCTGCCTGGTTCTTCTGGCCGGGTTATGGTCCTGATTCTAAAACCTCCATGAATTTCTTTTAAAAGATGACATCTGACGTTTATGAAATATATTATGAAACGTGAAATAAGAAATCAAGGTAATATTGAAAATTCATTAGGATTTTTTATAAGTACTTCTACCTGTATTGCTTTGCTCCTAACATGGACACAATTATTCATTTTTTGGAGATTAAACCTCACCAGCCTTCCAAGGAATGGCATTCTCAATTGAATTATCAAATTTTAAATAGCTTTTAGAGGGAGAAATACCTGACTCATTATCTTCAAAACTACAAAGGCAGGAGGATAAACAGCAAGGAAAGAAAAAGAGCCATGATTCATCAGCTCAAGCCATTTGGCCTGAAAAAAAACATAGGAGGGTTGGGAAGAGAAATATAAACCACCATTATTTCTGAAGAGGAAGTAATTCACGAAACTGGGAGGTGCCCCAGAGTTGTTTCTGGGGAAACACCTCCCAGAAACATAAGTGAGGAAGGACTGTTATTTCTCCCTTGTGTACAGTATAAAAGTTCTAAACTTCTGTGAGAAGAAGATTAATGCATTTAAGAGGAACAGTGGGTGTGGATGACAGTTGTGTCTGGTTAGTGGAATCTTAACCTCATGAAACCCTGGAAAATGAGAAATATTTACAAGATGAGAATTTAACATCTTTCTCAACTTGATCTCCTAAGAATAACCTGAGACTACAGGTTACTTTGTAATCTACCACAGATAAGCTTTACAAAATAATAGCTGGGTGTTTACCACAATGCTGAAAATAGTGTAATCACCTAGAACAATTAGACACCTTTAAACAATAGAAAAGAGAACATGCTACTTATGACCCTGGTACAAGGAAGAACACGTGACTCTCAGGACGGGGCCTGCTACGTGGACTTTCCACAGACAGCAGGCACCTCTTCAGTGAGGGGAAGCATATTCTGAAGTGAGGAAGAATAGCTAGACAGGCTGTCTCATACAAGAATGAATCTTTTTTTATAATGAAGTCCTCTGGTGGAGGAAAGCAATTCACAACAATAGGCTTCACCTTCAAATTGACCTTAAAAATAAGGAGCATTTAGTTCTGGAAAGATGCTCCAACTGTCGTATCTTTTAATGCTCAAATGTTCATACCTACGCTGATGTTCAAGTACACTTGAGCTTTGCCAAGGCGCTGGCCTAAGACTTTCTGAATAGCCATCAGACTTCTGTTAATCTGTCTTACAATGTGGACTTTACATAAATAGTTCATTAAAATTACTTGCTGTACTGGAGATTTTCTTGAGCTTATATATGTCTTAGAAACCAACAATCACTCTATGTCATGTAATTCCTTAAACTGCATACAAATCTAACAGCATTTCATCTTTCTTGGATCATAGATTAGTGTACCCTTGATGTAATAATGAACTAAAAGGGAACATTTACTTGAAAACTCCACTGACGCTTCATCAACAGATCAGTTTCTTACCTTAAAAACAGGTGCCTCACGTCAAGTTGACAACGGAACTAATGAACAACATTGTAAAACCCTGGAGAAGAACTAGCAAGTCAATGCATTGCTGAGGTGCTTGACTCATCTTTGTTTACATTTTGCAGTCAGAACCACTGTGTAAATAACCAGCTCTCTTCTATTGTGGTATCATCATATGACACAATAGAATACTACATGATTAGCAGCATAAAGTATATCACAGCTTTCTTCGCTGTGATTTCATCCTTGGAGGATGCTTAGGTCTGTAATTTTATTGCTTTGTGTGTAGTGATTTCAGAATAGAAAGGGAGGCATGACCACCTTATAAGAAAAGAAGTTTTTCATGTAAGAAAAAACACTATTTAAATTCTTACAAAACTTGCCTTATTTAAAGCATATTTTCAATGAAAATAATGTCTTACGATGCATCTAATAAAGTAGCATAAAGATAGTTTAAGTAGGTTAATCATTAGTAAATTTGGAATTCTCAAAGATATTTCATTTGCCATTTGCAGCAGAAAAAGTACATGTTTATCACATCTACATATTTATGATCCAATTCAAGATACTGTATCCAATATTGTGGGTTATCTGAGGAATGAAAGTCCTCTGTAATTCACAAGTGCTAAAATATATTTTTGATGATAACGAAAATGGTTTGCTATATGCAATAAAACATATTATGCCAAAGGTATATATTTTATTGAATAGGCCTGTAATAAAAATAGAGAGCATTTTTCAGATCTGATATTTTGAAATATTTGTATTAAATCTAAATCACAGAAATGTGCATTTTGGTGATGTTATGAGCTGCTAAATATAGCAATAATTTTAAGAAATTAATCTCTTGTTCTTCTTTGGGGGAGGGAAGAGTGTTAGTCTTTAGAATTTAAATTAATACAGATGAAAAATATGGACAATATCTTCAAAATAATTCTGCATTTACTGCCATTCTGAAGTATGTTTTAGGTAAGGTTTGCAAAACCACTCATTGCGAAAGTGAAAGAATAATGATATTTAACTCTGCAGTAATGATTTCTTTTAATCAGATTCTATTGCTTCAAAAGAGTCAAAGTGATTCATGTAAGACAATCAGCAGCTTCGTCAGTTGCTCATTGACAATGAGCATGGCAATGTAAGTCAGCACCTCACAAGATCAGACTCTTTACGGTCAACATAAAAATGACTGATGAAAATAATCGTAATTTCCATCCATTCTAAGGAGATGGAGTTAGAAACATCCAAAATGATTTGCTTCTCTGCAAGTGGACGAGCCACAACATGTTTTTTGCCTTCCAAGTCATTAAATTTTCCCCTGTATGAAAGGCTAGCATAGCACAAATGCATTATTTAGAGTTCTATCTGAAAGTTTTAGATAGTGTACTTGTCCTATAGCAGTCATCAGCCCTGGATGGATTTAATTCGAAAACATGAGTCTTCGCAGTCTACCACACCTGCAGGGACCCATCCCTTTCCTACTTCCTATCCATTTCTGATCTGAGCCCCAGTGAAGCCAAAGGACCTCTTTGAAGGAGCAGTGAACGCCCCGCATGCAACACACTGAGACTTACACCTTAACTGACCCCAACCTTATCCTACATGAATTTATTTCTTATATCACAATGTTGATTATGTTGACAATCTGGATATGATCTTATATCAACACCTCTTGAACCCTTACAGATAGATAGTTTTACTGGTGGTCAGCTTCATTGCAAACCTCACGTTAACAAAGAAATTTGGCATTTGTTCATATTTACCAGCAAAGAGAATATTAATGAATATTTTAGTATCAATTAACAGGGTATTTATTGTAGTCAGACTGTAACTGTATGACACAATGTAATTTCATTTGGAATAGCTCACTTAAAGAGTGTTTTGCACATTTGCTTCTTCCACTGAGCTAGTGAAATTCCATAGTTATGAAGCAAATACCTTTATATCAATAGGCATAATATATAGCAATGATTTTACTATTTTGCTTTTTCTTATTTGTTTTAGAAGGTAAGTCTTTTAATCATCCATAATAAATATACTATCATAAACAATCTGTATAGCAGTGTATAGCGCATCCTTCTATAATTAGTTAATATTGCTCCTTTTTCTTCTTTTAAACCACTTTTGAAATGGTAAAATGTAAATCTGATTAATTATGACATACTGAAGGGAACTACTACATCCCTTAAAATGCACTAAAAATAACAATAATAAAAATAGCTCCTTAAAATATATTTCACAAGTACATAAGTATATGTGGTCACCAAATCTAGAACAAAATCTCAGAAACACTTGTATTGGAATATCTCATTCACAAACTGTAGTAATAGAGATGGACTGTTACTCTTTATTTTCTAATAATAGCACTTTCTAAGTATCATTAATACAGTTTACAAATAATTAAGAACTACTAGTGTCTGACATCTTGGCACTGAGGCTTGGAAAATTACATATGCTAAAGCTGATTTTCTTAGAACAAAAAATATTCAAGTAGTGGCCTGGCTTATAGCCCATGTACTGCATCTCCAATTTTTGCCTGTGTTAAGAATTCCATTATATTGTTTTATGAATTTGCTTATTAAAAATATTATTCCTACCTCACATATGTGTCTGAGAGATTGCAATATAGAATAGGGTGGAAAAGACCCAGTACAAGTCAAAAGCCTTTAGAATTTTCAATAGAAAGAAAAGTAAATTCACCAAATAAGCACATATATTAATAATGGTTGCAAAAAATATCTTCCCAGTTCAATAAAATACTCATCCCTCAAACCATCCCTATTACTAAACACTGACCAACGTATGCATATTTTGAGAACAATGTTATTCATACATGTATATACCGATTATTCATAAAGTTACAACCAAACAGTATTTGAGGCAGAATGTCTCATTTTCAGCTCACATAAACCAGCACAGCTTCACTGATTCATGTCAGCTGAGGATGTTGGCATATTAGATTTCATAAATCTAAAAATTAGCTATTTTACCCTATTACACAAGCAATATACGTTTTATTTCTAAGGAACTCATCAATTGCCAGCTGTCCAGGTTGTAAGAGAATGTGAATTTGTCTGCTAAATATCTGCAAAATTAACCTCATTCAGTGGAACTCTCTCTGTGATTTGTCATTTTTCTAGGTAAATATATTGTCAGCAGTC